AGTTCCAGTAGTAGCATACCCCAAGTGGAACAGCATGGATCCCAAGGAGAGCAGCTAGGTGCGGTGCCAAATATTCACACCGAAATCCAGCAATGGCAAACAGCAAGAATTGCAGCTTGGGAGAACCAAAATGACGGAGGTTAGGATGAAGATCGATGAACTCTATGTGTTCGTGAAGGATAAGAACAACATACACAAGGAGGTCAAGCTACTAGCGACGGTCATCAAATCCGGCATAGCTGTGGCAGATCGGGAACTGCAAGAATGGAGAAGAAGAGCCGAAGCGACCGAAAAGGCTCTGCTTGAGGCCAAGGAGAATGCAAAGCTGGCTGAAGCGCAGAAGACGCCGAAGGGACCAACGAATCCACGTTCCGAGAAAAGAGATAGGGAAACGCCAGGAGACGAAGAGGACCCAAAAAAACACAAGGACGACGAATACGGTGTCAATGAGCAAGAAGATGGGGAAGACAGTGATTGGCATAAAGTCGAAAACCAGAAAGAGAAGAGGAAAGTCCGGAGTGTGGCAACGTGGACGAAACGCCGGAGCACGTGGTTTTCGACTGCCCAAGATTTGGGGCAGTGCGAGTGGAGATGCCGGCCCTTAGCGCGAGAAATGTCGTCAGTGAAATGTGCCGGGATGAGAGGACGTAGAGCGTCGTCAGCAGGGCAGTGATGCAAATTTTGTCGGAGCTGCAGCGAAAATGGAGAGATGATCAGCGAGTTAGAAACGCCGACTAGCTGAGCTAAAGAGATGTGCTTGAGCACAGCCCCCCCCCCCCCCGACGATATACTCTAGGGGAGTTCCGGGGGGATAGTGGCTAGAGGCAAGTAAGGTTTTAGTGGTTAAGAGTCCCACACTGTGCCAGAAGGAGAACAAACACGCAACACAGTGACAGGCCGGGCTTTTAAAGCTTTCCTTACCATGAAAAAAAAACATGCATAACGTACATAATTTTCATCTAGCCCCTCAACCCCCCTCCCCCCTGCTTTGATCTTGCCACCACTGCACATTTAATTCTCGAAAAATGTCATTATTGAGCTCGACAATCAATAAAATACGAATACGACTGTACAAAACAGTCCACCTCAACCAAAACTAATTGAATCATATAGGCTGACAAAATCGGGTCAAAAAGCTGACAAAATCGGGGGTAGACAAAATCGGGGGCTGACAAAATCGGGTCACCACTGTATCATCATGCACTACTAGGGGGGTGTCAGCGACTCTAGATATTGTCTCCAGTATGGCAGGCTCATGGGGGCTCACCATGGTTTGGCCAAGATTATGTGAAATCACAAAATGTGGGGTTATGAGTAGGGACAGTTCCAAATTCTGGTCAACAGAGAAAAGCGGAGGGATCGGTCTAGACTTATTTTTCAAAATTTTGGTCATCTTCCAAAATGGTTTTGCACAATCTGGTAGAGAGCGAATCTTGTTGGCAAAATCGTTATTTCTGAGTTCCACCATCCTGGCCTGGATTATTTTGGTTAGTCTATTGGCATTGGTCTTCAAGTGGGGCAGCCCAGAACGCTGGAACTGCCTACGAATGGTGTTACGGAGCCTGATAAGATCTTTGGTTGGGCTGTCAAGGTTCAGAGCAGTGTTGGGAAAATATCAAAAAATCAAATATCACCAACACCCAAGATCACGCTTGATTTTCGTAGACAAAAATCAACAAGCAAACAACTGCGGTTGATTTTGTAAGCTGTGATATCGCAGCTCGGAATATCAAGCTAACAAAACTCACCAACTGCAAATCTCACCAAACTGTGGTGAGATTGAGTTTAATGATTTTTGCTTTACACCCGAATGCAACCGAAACTTCCATAACGGCTTGCAGCAGTCCCTTCGCATCTGCCATCGGTGAAGATTAAAAAGTAGAAGGGTCTGTGCCTAGGGGCACGAACGGAAGCTTGACGTAGGACCGCTAGTGGACGGAATAAATGTGAAGAGCATTTAGTTCTTTTATTTGATCAATTATCTATTATCTCAACTCTTTCCGTTTTTTTAATTTTAGGCGTACCAAATTTGTAGTAATTTTTTCAAAGAGAAAGTTGATTAAGAGAATTAATCAATATCACTTGCACCCCTGCTTCCAAGTTTGGTTACAAGATTACAACTCTGGAGAGCATTTTGTGTGGTCGTTGGGGGCTTGTGGTTCTGAATATGGACAAACAAGCAGGAAAAAAATTCTATTCCAACTCTTTACTGATGTAAGCTTGATGGCCCTGAAAAGGGCCGTTTTATTGAAGAGGACATCCATGGCCACTTACGCTTGGCGTGTTTAGTGTAGGTGACAGCATCACGGACCTCATTTTCCAGGAACACCTTCAGCACACCTCGTAGATCAGACCGTAGATACGTTTGACACCACCACGGCGAGCCAGACGACCGATGGCGGTTATCTTGAAGAACTTTACGATGACGCTTGGCGCCTCCTTTACCAGACCTTTTCCTCTTTTGCCACGACCAGTCAATTGTTGCTTGATAGGTGTGAAGGAGTGGACTAGCCACCACCTTCCTTACTGCTGCTATTGCTGTTCACCACGCCGTCCGAAGCGAAAATGAGCTAATGCCTTTAAATGCCATACAGCAGCGCTCTTTTATATCTTTTCAGGTTAAAGCAGAATTATGTGCAACCAAGTGGTAAAAAAGCTACAAAGACTCCTCCCATTATGAGTAGTTTGCTATCAAGTAGCGACACTGGCTCTTTTCCTTTTGCGTACACGGCGATTGAGAACGACCCAAATTTGAGTTTAGTTCACTCATAATCGCAAAAGTGCAGGAACTCAGCGATGAGTAAATTTGTCTCATGGTTTCCTGTGGAAAACCTAAAACATCTGCCAGAAAATGAGGAAATTGATGAAAATTTTATTCAGTCTCGGAGTAGTACCAATAGACCGAGTGAATCCAATATTTACTTTTCTCAAATTCGGAAATTTTTCCCTGGAAAATCCTGGAAAAACCTGGGAAAACATGTGGCAAATTTACTCATCGCTGAGTTCCTGCACTTTATTTCTTATTTCTGAGATAACTAAACTCAAATTTGGGTCGATCTCATTCGCCGTGATATCACCTTGAAAGATATCGGCGCCGGTGGTTAGCGAGATTAATTCTCTCACCCCAGCAGGCCTGGGTCCAATCTCAGTCAGCGCCACCGGCATGTTCTAAGGCATAACATATCTGATCACGCCTTCATTCGGGAAGTAAAGCCGTTGGTCCCCGGTTGAGTTGATGGGTCGATTGGTAGGTTCCAGGTGTGGGAGCTGCCTCCCTGGCGAAAATATCCGGCCGTGGTGAATCAAAGTTGATCAAGGTTGATCAAAATAATTTGTACCCCTGCTTCCAGTTTGATTGAGTATGAGCATTTTGTGTGATCGTTGGTTCTGAATATGGACAAACAGGCAAACTGTAATAAGCTTGGTGGCCCTGAAAAGAGCCGTTTTGTTGCCAAAGTTGGTGATGATTTAACCTCCGAAACCAAACAGAGTGTCACTTCAAAACGTAGATGACATCCATGGCCGCTTACGCTTGGCGTGTTTAGTGTAGGTGACAACAGCATCACGGATCTCATTTTTCAGGAACACCTTCAGCACACTTCGTAAATCATACCGGAGATACGTCAGACACCGCCACGGCGAGCCAGACGACGGATGGTGATTATCTCGAAGAATTTGCGTTTGGTTCTGAATAGTGCGATGAGTGTGCAAAATATTACGCAATTCCATCCTCCCTATTCGCACGCGCCCGAGGATCGGAGGCGAATGCCACTTCGACTTGTTTCGTCTACTTACTACTTTCTGACGACTGTGCTGGAGAAGCAGCATATGCATGTAGGTAATTGGTGGATTTGTTAGTTAATTCGACGCTTTTGGACAATGCTGGACATTTACCAGTTTTCAATAGTTTCTTGTTGAAAATCAACATTCGAAAGCATTGTTATCGATGCGTAGCCATATTTCTGATCGATTGGTGATAAAATTATTGAAATTGGACCAGGGGCAGCTGAGTTATTAACGTTCAAAATCTTTCTTAATTTGTTACATGTTCCATTTTCGGTTTTCACAAAGTGTACCCCCATATAGAAATCAAAGACGTAGTCCTACGTCAAAACAATCAATTTTTGAACCACCCTAGCATGGAAATGGTCACCCTTATGATAAAATAACGGACTAATATTTTGCGATAAGGAGCAAAATTACCAATTTTTACGAAATTTTAAGAACCACTATATCGATTTGCTATGGAATGGCTCTATATTGAAAGCCCTCCCGATTTACTTGAAATTTTGCATTATTGTTTTTTTTTTTGGGTCAATAATTCACATTTGAGCTAACATTTGGCCATTTTGAATCTTGCAATTAAAAACTTCAAAAAGGCGTATTCCACATATTCCAACTAATAATAACTCGAAAACATTAGTTACAATCGAAATGACGTGTGACACAAAGTTGTAGGGAAAAATAATTACTTTTCAGGAAAAATAAACACGGCAAAAAATGTCAACACATTTTCGGTTGCAAGTCCAATCAAAATAACACAAAATTTCCATGTTCAAAATGTGACCATAACAAACAATTACGCAAAGTTTCATGCAAATCGAAGAAGTTCGAGTCTGAAATTCATTTTTTTTTTACTATTTGGCCCGGAAATGCTCGAAGACACGTGAGGAAACTTTTTCGATCTCGTTGAAGACTATTTGCCAAAACACCTGGCATCCCTGCTAAGAGGCCCTGGGGGTGGATGACTCGGGTGTCATCCCTTAAAATTTGGTGCTTCTAATGTATAAAAATATAACTGCATGGCTCAATTATCAATTATATATTAACAAATTTCTGCCATAATGTATGTTCTTTATTTCACCAAACTTTTACTTAACAGCATGAATACTCTCTTCCTTTTACACTAACTCAATTTAAATAAAATCAAACGATCCAAAGCAGCGAAGCTGTAAGCACTAATGAATTCCCATTGCATCCTCTCTCTTCCCTTCTCAAAGGAAATGCTCTCCCGATCGTCACTGGAAACGCAAAAATTGGAGCTAATGTCCGCCATGAGTGAACTGAAGCTGCAGCAAGCCGCCTTGGAACGGGAAAACCTGGAGCTGCGATCTAGTCTGATCAACGGAACCCCCCTCAGCAATGGCAACCACCTGAACGGGGGCATCCTCAATAGCAATACCCTGAACAACAACAACAACAGCAACAGCATTGCAGCTAGTCTTCTGCGACGGACCGGTCGAATGGTAACGTCCACTCCGGGCAACTCAATCAACTCGTCTCCGCTGCATCACGGTAGCCACGGTAGTCTACCGCAACAGCAAACGGCCACCTCACCTAGTCCCGTTACACCAAAAGTATGCCGTCCCGGAACGGAGTCTTCCAGCATCCGAACTTCACTAATTCAACTTTCACCCATTTCAGACGCCCCCCGCGTCCTACCGGCAGCGGGTGGACCTACACTACAGCAGTCTTCCACGGCAAGCCTTTGCCACAACGCTATCGACGGCCAGTGGTTCCAGTGCGGGCAGTTCCGGCGGCACCGACGCCAACGCCAACCTGAAGCGCAACGTAGCATTCGGTAATTGTTTGACCACCCTAGAAACCTATATCAATGCCATCAACCTTGAAGCCGAAGCAGCGGCAGCAGCTGAAGAATCTGCTTCTGCTTCCTACCTTTCAGCTAAAACTCTGGTCACCGGTGCCAATGGCGCGCCACCGAACCGACCTGCGGCTGTAAATATGTCTGCATCGATGAATGCCCTCTCGCTGTCCGCTGCGCTTGGTCAGTCCAATTTAAAATCGCTGAAACAGACGTCCGCTTCGGCGCAGAACATCTACTGTTCGGTGGAGCCATATGCTCCTTCCGGGATGATCGAATCCAAATCCGATCGATTGATCGATTTCGAGCAGGACCATTCGGAAAGGGCTACCACGGAACCGCCCCCGGGCGGGCCGGCGGACAGTTCCACGAATTCCACTCCAAAGCTGGCCGCCGCCAGCAGTCCCATTTTGGATCGAGAGTTCCACCAGCGATCCAAATCGCAGCCACAGCCTTTCTCCGTTTCCGCCGATCCACTGCAGACGATGCTGATTGGGGAGATTCGTGGATTTTCCGTGCCAAATCTAGGTTCTATGTCCCATGCCTTGAATTTTGCTGTTTGTTTCATTCTTGTTGGTCTGCCGTTTTCCCGAGGCTTTCGCGGCTGTTTTGGATAGTTTCGTTTTGCTTTTTCTCTTGTGGTCCGCCGGATGCTGGTCGCGCGGATGCTGATGCGTGTGTTCATTTGTCTTGTCGGTTGATGTTGTTTGGTTACTATTAACACATTTGGCGATACGGAACGGTACTTTTGATGATTTAGATGGTCGTTGATGTCATAAAATTTCTCTATTATCACAACAATAGACAACTTTTACAAGGTTCAAAGACCGAAAAGTAGACTTGAGATAGGCCATTGTGTAAATGGTTAATGTGCTCTTAATCGTGGCACAATTCCTCTGTATAAAAGCCGATCTATTTTCGTCCATTCAATGATCAAAAGTTGCGTTCGTCAAAATTAACTTGCTTGTTTCGATTTTACTCATAATTCCGGAATGATTTGAGATTTGAGCGTAACTGTTTTTTGTAAACAATGGCTTCAATCACCGATTTCTTGCGAATAAAAACTCAAACAAACTACATATACCAACTGCTAGAGGAATCACTACCCTGTCTGATTGTTTTGTTAGATTTTATTCACGAGAAATCGGTCATTGAAATCATTGCTTACAAAAAGAGCTGCGCCCAAATCTGGAATCACTCCGGAATTTGGCTCATACCAATCCCGATGTACTGTACTCCTTTGGCTGTCACCCCTGCAATGTACCCATCAGCGATTGCCACCGGAAGATCCTAAACATCCAAGACTGGCTCTGTCGCTAACAACAAAATTCTCCAAACCTCAAGTTGTGTTTGTTACATAATACCGCGGAACGATAATTAACACTGCATCTCGACGTCCATATCTAATACAACCAGTGCAAGTTCAAATCCACATTACCAAACGTCGTGTTGTACCGCGCTGCCGAGAGCTGAACGATCCGTCAACTAATGCAAAATTACCTCTTTTATTTAACCAATGTTCTGTTCTGTATAAACAGTGACCCGTTACCAACCACCCCAAACAGGCGACTAATCTCAGTTTAATTTTAATCCACGCAGCCGACTCGGAAACCCTGTCGAACGATCGCCTGGATGGGCAAGCTAGTCAACGTAGCTACACGCCGCAGCCTTCGCCGTCGCCGTCGATGAGTCACAAAAATCTGAAAGGTTTGAGGAACATCTTCGGTAAGATCAAACGAAGCAACAGCGGTACGCTGGAGGACGTCGACCCGGGAGAGTTCAAACGAGGTGGGGTCCGTGCGACGGCCGGAGCAAGGTTGGGATGGAGTTCAGAGTTCCGACGACCGGATAAGCCTTTTAAGGAGTGGGACCTGGAAGTACTGTGCCAGTGGTTCGAGCAGATGGGACTCAGTATGTACGAGGAAGAGCTTAGACGATGGCTGAAGGTTGGTGGAGCGCCCGAACTGGTCCGAGCGTCACCCGTGGATATTGAAAAGGAGTTGAACCTGAAGAATCCACTGCACAGGAAGAAGATCGTGCTGGCGATCGCCGACCTAACCGAAACCGTCGATGCGGATGTGTTGCTCAAGAATGCGGGCAAACTGGATACGCCTTGGGTAAGTTCGACGATACTTTGATGGTGCAAAACAGAAGATAAACGTTTCTTTCGTTTGTTCCGCAGATTATTCGATGGCTGGAGGATGTAGGACTGCCGCAGTACAAGGATAGCTTTATGGCAGCCAGGATGGATGGTCGCATGCTGCACAAGCTTACTATGGATGATCTAGTCACTTTGCACGTGTCTTCCTGTGTGCATGTCGCCAGCTTACGGCGAGGCATTCAGCTGCTGCGGGAGCAAAAATGGAATCCGGATTGCTTCATTCGACGATCGATGGCCGATGAGGGCAGTGGTACCAAAGAAGACGTTCGGTTGTGGACTTGCTATCGGGTTATGGAATGGCTCCGGGCGGTGGACTTGTCCGAGTACTCACCGAACCTGCGGGGTACTGGTGTCCACGGTGCCCTAATGATGTTTGAGGTGAAATTCACCGCCGAACTGCTAGCCGAACTGCTTAGCATCCCACCGAGCAAGACACTGCTCCGGAGGCATCTGGCAACGCATTTCAAGGAACTCCTGGGAAGAGACATCATCCAAGTGAAACGAGACGCAGAGAATACGCTCGGATTCCAACCGCTGACGTTGGCTGCCAAAATCAAGGTAGAGTGTTTCCCTATTCCTACATCTGTTTGAAAAGCCTTACTCTTTCCTTCCATTGTAGACCCCAAAGAAGTCGCAGTTTTCGCTGAAGCGCAAGAAGAGCTCCAAGGGCGGGGACGAGTGGAGCGACTACGTCTGCCCGATGGGTGGTGACTCAGGTCAGGAACATCTTCCTCCCCAGCAACAACAGCAACAATCATCATCGCATCAATCACTGTCCACTGCATCCTCTTCCTCCTCCTCGGTCGCGGCGGCAGCGGCTGCGAGCTCTGCCGACACTTCCGTTGTTACTACTACCAGTGCCACTAGTGCCAGCAACTACCAGCAGCACAATCAGCATAGCTACAACTCACATGCTTCTCCCTACCGCGCTAACACTAATCCTGTCACTAGCAATGCAAGCGTGGCTGTAAGTTGTCAATCTTGTTCCTAACCTGTGGGTCAATGTGTGTATGTTGTTTGATTGTGTGGTTCTGTGTTTTGGGGGGCAGATTATACAATAGATCAAGTGTTCGTAAAGCTAACCTCACTTTTAGAGAACAAAGCACGGTCCCTAACGCCACTTCTTGTATACCTTTCATTTTGTATCAGAGTAATAGGAACTAAATAAAACCACCGGAAAAAGTCAAAATTTGAGGATGAAGAGGGGATGTTGTCAAAATCCGTGCACTGAATGCATTCTGCCTTTTATATGAGAGTAAAAGCGGATAGCAACCAAGGAAGCAAAAATATCTCCAAATGACAAAATGACAAACGATCAACGAGTCGAACGATAACGCTTTGTCAGAAGTGGAATGCAATAATGATATAAACTTCTTCCTTTTTTCATGACAAGCAGCGCGTACGACACAGCTCTCTCGGAGCGGTAGAAGGAAACGATCAAATTGATGGCAAGCTGCTTCACGAAGTAAAGCCGAAGATGATACACGTGTGTTAATGTGAATGTTTTTGTTATGTCTTTTCACGATTCCGATCACGCTATGTCCTCAACCGTGTATAGAACAAAGCTGGCTAGCAATATATCATTATCCGTCTACCATTCCGATCGAGCTTAGTAATACATACATGGTAATACTAGGGGAAATGACTCCAATGCTGGCCTATGGATAGAGCTGGAAATAGGGCCTAACAGCTTTTGTAAACAATGGCTTTTCTCGATGATTTCTAGGAAATCAAGGCGCGCCAACGCAAACCATCACAGGCATCGGGTAGGGGAAGACTTCCCATACTGGATGGTGATATTGATTTGATTGGGCGAGCCTTGAGTTTCTAGAAATCATCGAGAGAAGTCATTGTTTACAAAAGCTGTTACGGCCTAATTCCAGCTCTATCTAGAATTATCCATTCGCATTTTATTATATGATAGATAATACTCGTTTGGCTCATGTTTTGACAGTTCACGCTACTCGATTGGCTCAAGATGGAGTAACATTTGAAATGGGCCCATGTCAAAAACGTAAACAAGTCGGATTTTGCTACTATTCTTTAGCACCGCTTGATAGCTACTAATCGTGTAATAAAGTTCCGCATAATCCGAGAGGGGCGGCTCTATCTAAGATGCAGGAATTTTTTTGCTTTGCTGTTGTGAGATGCACTCGCGCTTAATACTTAGAAACACGATTGATTATGATTTTGAAGATTTTCTGCAAAAAGGTGGAGAGCGATGCGAGTAGATGGGTTTAGATGCAAGAGATGAAAAAAGATTTTTCGTAGGTTCATTCGCTATTGTGAGATTTTTTGACCATTTAAAATCGAGATTTAGATGTGTCGCACCCCTCGGCATTATCGAGAAAAATCATTAAAAATAACTGAATACGCCCGCACGCTAAAACCATAGAAGTAACTCTAAGACTAGAAGCTCCCGAAATAACGTGCTCAACTTTTTGGCTCAGCTCTAGTACTCTGTTCGGTCCCAAGCTAATCGATTCACCCCTCGAAACATAGGAAAACCAATAACCCCTCATTTTATCTGTCAAACTTTCATAGCGAATAAAAACAAACATTGCGTAGCACTACAATTTCAACTAGAATGGGATACGTTAATCGTTTGCTTAGGACCAATAGGCTAGTCAAGTAGTGAGCCAATTTAAAATCGTTAGTTTCGTATTGATTGTTGCTTAAACGGCCAACCTTTCATTTCAAGACCAATAATTGAAATGGCCTTAACTCCATTTTGTAAAAAAAACCTTGTAAGACCATTTTATCGCGAACCGAAACCTTCATTCGCAAACCTAAACCACAATCGGGTAGAGGAGAATTTTCCCTACCTGTTCATTATGTTGGTTTGCCTTTGCGGACGTCGGTTCGCGAGAAAATGGCCTTACATGGTTTGTTTACAAAATGAAGTTAAGGCCATTTCAATTGTTGGTCTTGATTTATTTCATTTCATTGATAGGCCTAGTGACGTAGAAGGGCCGATGATTGAAAATTTTCAACCAAAAGCTAGGCCCTACTGCTTGAGGTAGGGCCGATGGTTTGTTTTGAATTTATATGACGTTGCGAAAAGGCTTAGCAAAGGGCGTACCATTGCTGATGACAAGAACAACGGCTTTAAAAAAAGGGTCTATTCATTGAAAGATTCACAAAAAGGCTTATTAATTTAGGAAATTAAATTGTTATAGATTTTCATAAATTTTTTGAAAGCTTTTCGCATATTTTGGATTTGTATACTGAGATTCAGTTACTGTTGTTATTGTGAACAATATAAATGACTAAAATACTTCAATTTTCTTAAATATGAATTGAATACCTAGTGGCGGAAAAATATAAAATTTATTTCTGGTTTGTTTACGTTTTGGAAATAGGCCCATTTCAAATGTTACTCTAGATATATAGTATTACCAACAATCAATACGAAACTAACGATTTTAAATTGGCTCACCACTTTAGTAGCCTATTGGTCCCAAGCAAACGATTAACGTACCCTATTCTAGTTGAAATTCTATTACTACACTATGTTTGTTTTGATTCGCTATGAAAGTTTGACAGATAACATCAGGGGTGTGTGGATTGTCAGTCAGCTTCATTGAGTCATTTTGATATGAATATGAACTGCCATCTGCCTCATCATTCACTACCTCGTGAGAGTCTGAATGATTGAGAGGTAAACGAGTCACTGACAGCCGAGCACTCAGTCAGTAGCTCAGTCAACACGTTCATTCTGCCGTGATGGAACCCAATACTTGTTTTGAATGACTGAGCGTACATTTTCTATGGAAAAATGACTTAATTACACGCTGTGTGAGCGAAGACAAGCGGTGTGCGTCGCCTGCTCGTGAGTGACTGAATGTTTTGTTGGCTCTTTCATTGCCTCGTCCTTTACCGTTTGGTACAAACGGTCTGCACAGAGCAATGGATTGAATCGAGATGGGAAATGACAGGTGGGCAGGAACTCACGGTCTCTCAGTGTTGGTGAGTTCTTTGCCGTTAATATTCACGAAAAGTTCACTATTTTGCCATACAGAAATTCAAAACAAAAAATTTTATCTGTGGATTTGGGCAGTTTTTGACCTGTTTCATACGACCGGAAGGTGTATGCTGGTCACAAATGCCGTGCCAAACTGATTTCCTACGCAATTAATCAATCTTTGATGTGAATTTCGCTAATAAACACGAGGAGCAAACTTGCCATAACAAAATGGGCATGGTTCATTTTAGTAAACAAACTAACACTTCTTCCGACTGTGTCACCTCTCTTACTCGCATAGGGATTGATTAGTCCAGTGCTTTCATACTCAGCCTACACACCAAGTTGTTTTTACAGTTGTCGGTAAACATTTTACTGACTTTCAAACAGCTGAACATTCGGTAATCAGTTCGGTAAAAGTTTGGTTTACTGAACGATCAGTAAACTTGCAATGTATACTCTACTGTCAAAAAATACCGACTAGCTCATCACTCAATACCGAAGTTCGGTAAAAATTACAAAATAATCGGTCAAAATAGAAAGGTCGTCATCTGCCAAAAATTACAGTTCTTTCGATAGTTTTTACTGAAAAACAGTGAAATATAGGGAATTGTTCCGTTCAAATCATGCACAATATTTTTTTTTTGTTTATATCTTTTATTAAATGCAATTCGTCAATCTGTTTATCCAACGAGTCAGCGATCGCCAGCACATCACAAGCACATCTAATCTCAGCGGACACGTCTTCAATTTCAATGGTTTACAAGTTTTTTTTTCTGCTAATATGCGTACGATTTTCTTAAAATTTATTTACACTTGAATTTTACACCGCTTAACATGCGAAATTGACGAAGATTTGACAGGCGTGATTTTAACTGAAGCGTTCAGTAATAATTACTGAACTCCTGTATTGTTTACATTTTTCGTCAGTATTTATAAATTGTTCACTGGAAATCGGTAAAACTTTTACTGAACAGATTAGATTAAATGACATTTCATGGCTTACAAACTACATCGGTAAAATAGATGCAAATTTTCAGTAATATTTTCATGGGAATTACCGAAAATTTGTAGCTATTTGACAGACAGAAGAAAATTAAAGCAATTTTACAGATCACTCAGTAGAAATTAAATTTTACAGATCAAAACCGTAAAAAAATTACCGAACATCAAAACTAGAATTAATAAGTTTAACGCTCTGCACCTATCCTCTTCAGACCTTTCTATAGTTAATAAATTATCACACCATAACTTTATGTAAGATAGCGTTTTCAACCAACGCTGAACAATTTATCGTTTTGATTGATCGTTTCCTTTGTTTTAAGGAGAATATTTTAAATTTTACTCATTCATGATGCCTCCACATTTTGTATTGAGAATTGCACATTAGCCTATTCTTTGTGGGACTGCTGTTTTAGGGTGCACTTAATTGTTTCTATTGGCAAAACATGGGCTGCTATTTAAGTAGTGCACGAGTTGCTTTCAGTTCGAAATTGTGAACCACATTTCTTAACTCTTTGCCAATGATTACATTTAAGAATCGCGAAATCTCCCCACTCCTTCCCTTTTCTTGTTGTAAGATTTTAACAGTCATAATACCGATCCTTCAAAATGTGTGTCAATGCTGTGAACAAGTTTGCCTCTCGGAAACAGGACAGTCCTGCTGTGACAAAGCATCTGCACGTATTTTGCAGGTTCGGTATTATGACGGCTAATTGATACAGGTAATATTTACAGTTTCACGTATCGATAAATGCTTATGCTTTTGACACCTTCCAGCCTCAGACAAAAATAAAACTAGCCAAGCTTTTCGCTTTTGGGACCCAACGCTTCTAATGAGTGCCATATGATGATGCTTTTGCTCTTGGGAATGTTTGCGAGAAAAGAGTTCATTAAAAACGGCTTCGTTCAATCTTTTACAGGATCGCGATAAAGCATTTTTCCAGTCAGTAACATTTTGGTAAATACAGTTTCTCTTAAATCATGTTTGTGGAATGTGAGCCATTTCCAAATAACAACCATTTGCTTGATTCGTAACCCAACTCATATTTGGTGATATAACTTAAACGGTTTCATGGAATGATTCGATATTAACTGTAAAACTGATGTTGATTATATTGGATTGTCGATTGATGTTATGATTGCTTTTTAACGGATTATCCTCCCGCTCATTCCAGACGACGAAGACTCAATTCAGTACCTACCCGGACAGCACCATCAGCAGCAACAGCAGCAGCACAACAACCACGACCTCCGGAGTCGGGTCCGAAGTTGCTTCACATCAACAACTGCTGAGTAATGCCTCCTCCAGCAACAGCAACAGCATCAACAACAATAATAATAACAACAACAACAACGTCGGTTCCGATTCGCCCACCTCGACGCGCAGCTCAACGACGTCCACATCCTAGCAGCGGTTGATCTCGGCCGGCTGCTCCATGTCGTCGACCGCTTCGTCCTCGCCGATCCCGAGCAGCGTGATGTCGAGCAAGAATAACTACTTTATTGCATCCTTCTCGCCGGTGAAGGATGTTTATAAATCGGTTTCCACTAGTTCTAACTATTCCTCCTCGTCGTCGCTAGTTTCCACGGCGAGTTCGGCCCGACCCCAGTCCCAGCAGTCTCAGCAATCGCACCAGCAGCAGCAGCAGCAGCAGCAGCAACAGCAACAGGGCCCCGGCAAAGGAGAGGGAGATGCCGGAGTTCCGGTACAGCGGTCAGCCTCGTTCAACGCCACCTGCACGGTTCCGCTGAGCATAAGCAAAACAACAAAGGTCAAGAATTCGGCTTCCTTCAGTAACTGTTCGCTGTTGGCTAAAGTGGCAAAAAAGTCCGGTCTCAGCGGATCATTGACTGCTAATTCACTGCTGAAGTTTTCCCCATCGAGTTCGGCCAGCAGTTTGCTACAGTTGAAACAGCAACAGCAAGCCAATGGGATCACAATTTCGAGCAACATCACCGAAGCACTAGCCATGGCTGGACAGAATCCCAATCCCGGCCTGTCGACGTCATCGTCCGGACAGCTGAAGAACTCTCCATCGGCTTCTTCATCTACATCGTTGGCATCGTCGACGACCTCGACGGTGACGGCAGCAGCCGCCGCCACTAGCACCGTGTCCTCCCCGAGCTCCTCTGCCTCTGCCGGTGCTGCCCTGTCGCTGTCCCAGTTCACTAAAAATAACATTGTTGATTATTATGTCTAATAATAAGCAAACCTGTAGCCATTAAGACATAGGGACAAATATACACATATTGGTTCATTTTATAGGTAGATCGCGTCGCCAGTTGAGCGATTTTTTTTTAATGTTTTTTAAACTACGACCTTGTTCGATGGTACCTTCACACAACCATCGAGTGTTTCCAAACTTTCCTAAAACTATAAAACTGCGTACCATTGAGACATGAAAGCACTCACACACACATACACACCGAACGACAACCAATGGGAACAATCTGTCCCACTTGAAACGACCAGATATATAAGCTAACTAAGTGGACTAATACAAACTATTCTAATACTAGAATACTAGAACAGGAACAGAGTAAATCGCACCCATATTTAGGGGTCTATCGTTATCATATATCGTATGGGAGGGAGAAAACACATTTTCTACTAACCGACCCCCACACCGAAACCAATCATTCTGCCTAGGACCAGAGCAAGCTGACAACCGTTACCTTAGTATTGTGCATAAAAGTCTAACCTTTTCATCCTTAAAATTCTCCCGTTGAATTGTTTCAAGCAGAAAATTTGATACCACGTTTGTAGGTAACCGTTGAAATTAAATATTGCAGTTAGTTGGTAAAAATATACAACTGATCGAGTTCTTACGCATACTTGAAGCCAAAGACAATAAAATCACACACACACACAAACACACGCGTAGAAATGATAAGCCGTTCTCTTCAGTTCCCCCACTGACCTTCTCCGTGCTTCATTTACCAAGAGAATCTTCCCGCTACCAGAACCACGATCAAGTTCAGTTCACCCTGATACATTGCAGCCAACACTTAAGTGACCAACTATCTATCTTGAATAAGATTGTTGACTAACCATAAGTCCAAAACTACTCGCTGATTGAGGCACAGCGCTAGGCGTTCATCGATGATTGTTAGCAAACTGGATTTTGCTTGTTTGAATCCAACTCAGAACAAAAAAACTCCCAACACAAGGACCCAGTTGAAACTTAACAAATAATAACATTAATTAACTACATCAGAATTAAAACGTTTGAGGACTTTACAACCGAAATTAACCTACAATAGTTGCAGCGGATTATGACCCGTTTGAATAAAATGTTTACACTCGACGAAAGAAGCAGAGCAATTCTATCGACATTCATACATACATACATGCATACATACAAGAACGAGAGGCGCGAAGTTTGTTAGAAGTTGATCAAGTTGAAATGAATAAGATAATTAACATTAGACGAAAGAATGAAGAAAAACTATTGTAATTCAGTGATTGAGGAAAATGAATAATAAAAAGAAAATAAATTAAATTGTATGGGAAGTTGAATACTTGATGACAGCATTTTCATTGCTTGATTATTTTTTACATGTGCGATACGACATTGGGAATGCTAATGGTGGGGGTCTCAGGGGGCCTGTATTATTGTTTTTTTTTTTTGTTTTGCTAAACTACGGTTAAATAGAAACTCTTGAACTGCTATTCAATCAAAAGGCGTCAAGGTTCGATGCATTTCCACCTCGTCTTAAATATTAAATTTAATTATATTTACTTCATAACAACGCTGATTTAAAGGATTTCATGAGGATTTTAAGTTTCTCAAACTTAAGAAAATTCTCATGTTAGATCATTATTTTTTTTTTTTTAATTTATTTATTTATTTATTTCGTCAACCAACGTAGACTAGTACATATTACATTCATTACCAGACTTAGATAACTCCATTTATTTTGTAACTGTTTTTTAATTTAATCTTTTTATATTTAATCATCAATTAAATCTCTGAAACAGGTATCAACATTAAATTCTAGGACTTTGAATTTATAATTTTCAAAATTTCTGACTTTGAAATATGGCAATACATATCAATGAACTATTCTTAAAATTCTGAAAGTTAAAATAAAAATAGTTTTGAGATCCCAATTTAATCATAGGTATATATCTCTGAAACAGTCTTTTTATAATGCGTTTATTTTTATTTTCTCATTTGTCGTAGCTTATCAGCGACATCACATCATCAAATTTAGTTTTGCATATAGGAAAAAGTGCCACATCTGGTGCACTTGTCGTAGCTGGTACACCTACCCTATATTCTGACTTTCTGATGGTGGAGGTTCGGATTGTGTCGACCGATTTCTGTTGGTTTAGTAGTGTTGGTTCTTCACAATTCATTTAGTTTTACAGAAATTGTTTGCGTTTTTGTAAAACAATCTCCAGAATCACACACAACAATTCTTTCTGATGTTTAAGAGGCATGTTTTTGGTTATGTAGGCTAAACGATGATAAAAAATGTCAACCTTATCTACGATGGAGGTTACTGGAATACTCGGTTGTTCTGAATGGAACTTGGCCCCTGGTGATTCATCCTGCTTAACCACACCCAAAGTCTTCGGATTTGATCCAATGCATTTTGAATGATGCGCAGCAGTCATTGATGAACATTTTTGCGAAGATTTAATATGACACGCTATTTTTTTTTGTGGGGAAACAGGCTTAATTTTACGAACTCTGGCAGCAAGGAAAGACATCTGCGCATCGAATCTCGTAAATGCCATTTGATTCTTTCGACGGTAAATATATCTCTCTCGAACTTGCCGCCATTTACGCTTTGCAGCATCCTCTAAATCGTGAAGTTAATATTGATTAAAATTGATTAAAATGTGAAAATGAAATGAGAAAGAAGTTGTGCTTACCGGAAATTCTCATAGCTTTACCTATATCCTGCCATTTCTCTTTTCTTAATAGGGTATCACGAAATCCTGCATCCTTCCTGTCGTATAGGCAGGGTAAACGTCGTACAAAAGAAATAAGTTTATTTTCATTCAATTTTTGCATTTTAAAACTCTGATTTGCGCTGTTTTCAAGTAGACTTGAAGCACGTTACTATTGCATTTGTGGTAGCGTAGATCCAGTGAATGTGAATTATCAAGAATTTTCTTGAAGTGGCTGATATGATTCATGAGTGTTTTCTCTTAGCGATAATCAATAAATTACGTAACGTATTTTTGACCAATATAAGATCCTCCTCGTAGCGTGTTTTTCCATTCCTAATACACGGCCGGTCACAACTCCTGAAAACCCCTTGTTTGGCCACACGTCGGACATATGTGCAACTACTCTAAAGATGTATCCATCCACAAACAATTTTTTTTTTTTTTTTTTAGTTCTTTATTAAGGAGATTTTTAGCCTATGGCTAGCTCATCTGCGATCCACACACAAATGTCATTACTTGTGTATACAGTGTGTTTAGTATTGTTCTGTACTGTTTAATATAGACGATAACAAATAAAAAGTCACTAGTTCGTATGCCTCCGCCATGGCGGGACGGCCAAATAATCGGTCCCCTCAAATGCTACGTCATCTATGCATGTCGCTTACGTATCTCGAGCACTTCAGAAAGCGATCCAAGTAAGCAATACCTTTCAACAATGAGCAAACAACGTTGTTAGATTACCAACAGTAGCAACGTCGTTAGTAATAGGCTTGTTTCGGACGTTCTTGAACAAAGCCCAATTTGGTATAAATACCCAAGTAACCAAAAGTTCTGATAAAAGGCTATTTGTAGCTTAATCATCTTGGTTGCAGGTGGTCTATAGAATTCTAAGCAGCCTCATTTTTAAGTCGTTATAAGAACATGAAAGTTCCGGTATCATAATTGAAGAGCATTCTAAGCAGCTTCTGGCGGAACTTGAACGGAACTTTTAGAAAATATATTCTATATTATGTTCGCAATTTTATGAAAGTTATTTCTTGTGTATGCGTGTTAATGTTGTATGTGTATTGACCGAAGAGAGTAACAAAGCTGAGCCAAAAAGTTGAGCACGTTATTTCGGGACCTTCTAGTCTTAGAGTTACCTCTATGCTGGTACTCTCTTCGGTCCCAAGCTAATCGATTCACCCCTCGAAACATAAGAAAAACCAATAACCCCTCATTTTATCTGTCAAACTTTCATATCGAATCAAAACAAAGATTTTGTAGTACTAGAATTTCGACTAGAATGGGATACGTTAATCGTTTGCTTGGGACCTGTAGGCTATTCAAGTAGTGAGCCAATTTAAAATCGTTAGTTTCGTATTGATTGTTGGTACTATCATAGAGGTAACTCTAAGACAAGAAGGTCCCGAAATAACGTGCTCAACTTTTTGGCTCACATCTGGTACTATCTTCGGTCCCAAGCTTGTCGAATCACCCCTCGAAACATAGGAAAAACCAATA